CAGGACTTCGAAAACCAGCTGGGAAATTGCTGATTTGTCTGCAGTATGAATTTCTTTGTTAGGAAAGAAAATGGCTCTTTGAAATAGTGTTCTTCCTATGAGAAGAGGAGGTATTTATGCTTGTTTTCCAAACACACACAGGTCAATTCAAAGGGAACCTACTTATTCCTCGAGTAAAAAGCAGTATCACCTTAGGAAATGGTTCTTTCAGTGGCTGACACTAAATTTCTACACACAACAGTCGTAAGTTGGCACAGAAACCAGGAAAGGAGGTGAATGCTATCTTTCCGACACAGGCAAAGTTCACTCATTAGAAATTCTTTACATATTTGAAAGGAAAATTCCCCTGGCACCATCTTTCTTTCTTTACAAGACATATCTATGCCAAAAAATGCATTTAATTCTTAATTTGATTCCCTGTAAAATTCTATAAAAATAAATTGAATCACAGTAATGTTTGCTCATATTTGAAGAGCAATAAAAATAAGTTTTGCAATTTTGTCATTGGTTTTAGTATCGGAGAAGCCATACTCCTTTGATGTCTAAAAATTCCAAGCCAAGCAAACCAACTGCTTGACTGTGGTGGCAGCTGCTATTCTGCTGTTGACTGTCACCTTCCCAGAACTCTTCAGAGATCCTTCTGAGAAGACTCCAATATTGTGGTATTTCTAAAATACTCAAAATAGCAATGCTGTTCCTTACCAATGAATTGGTTTGCACAGAAGCCATTATAAATTCTTCAATGGCAGTGCTCAGTAAATGAAACTTTTAATTAATTTGATCCTAGTTCATTAAGGCTCCTTGTCTCAGATATACAGGCACCTCAATCACAGCTAACAGCCCTTACTTAAAAATCCCCCAACAGGACCAAATCTCCATCCTGTTGGGGGGAGATTTGATTTTTAGGAAGAGTTAAAAAATTATCAGAGCAAGATAACTTCTCTGATAAATGAAGAAAAGTAGGCTTAAAGAGCAAAATTAGTCATAAAGAGAACTATTTCCATAGGTGTTTTGAAACTTAAGTCTGAGACTCATTTTTAAGGAGAAATCCAAAACATGCCTTGATAAATGTTTAAAGAAGCCACTATAGGAAAAACAAGACTTGTGCATGAAATAAAATTCAACAGCCCTCATGATGAAAACTGTCAACAAATTTGGTATAAAAGGAACATTCCTCAACATGATAAAGGCCATATATGACAAACTCACAGCTAACATCGTACTGAATGGGGTAAAACTGAAAGTCTTTCCAGTAAGACCTAGAAGAAGACAAAGATGCCACATTCACCACTTCCATTCAACATAGTACTGGCAGTCCCAGTCAGAGCTATTAGGAAAGAGAAAGAAAGGACATCCAAATTGAAAAGCAAGTCAAATTATTTTTGTTTTCAGATGACATGATTTTTTATTTTAGGAAATCTAAAGAGTCTACAAAAAAACTCTTAAATCAGATACACAAATTCAATAAAGTTGCAGAATATAAAATCAACATACAAAAATCAGTAGCATGTCAGTATACTAGCAGGGATCAACCTGAAAAAGAAATCAAGAAAGCAATCCTATTTACAATAGCTACAAAAAAAAAAATATAGGAAAACATTTAACCAAAGACATGGAAGATCTCCACAAAAAAAAAAAAAAAAAAAAAAAAAATACTATATATAAATATAAAACACTGATGAGGGAAATGGAAAAGGACATAAAAAATGAAGAAATACCCCATGTTTATGAATTAGAAGAATTAATATTTCTAAAATATTTATACTACCCAAAGCAATCAACAGACTGATTGCAATCCTTATCAAAATACCAATGGCATTCTTTACAAAAATGGAAAATACAATCCCAAAATTTGTATAAAACCACAAAAGACCTTGAATAATTAAAGCAATTCTGAGCAAAAAGAATAAAGCTGGAGGCAGAGGCATCATACTATGCGATTTCAAATTATATTACAAAGTTATAGTAACACAAACAACATGATACTGGCATAAAAACAGACACATGGACAAATGGAACAAAACAGAGAACCGAGAAATAAAGCCATGTACTTATAACCAACTTATTTTTAGTAAAAGCTCCAAGAGCATGTAGTCTCATTTAAAAATGGTGCTGACACAATGTGCAATTGCAAAATTACAGAACCAGCCCAAATGCTTGTCAATCAATGAGTGGATAAAGAAAATGTATTATATACACCATGTAATATTACTCAACCATAAAAAGGAACGAAATAATGGTATTCACAGCAACCTGGATGGAATTGGAGACTATTATTCTACGTGAAGTAACTCAAAAATGGAAACCCAAACATGGTATGTTCTCACTCATAAGTGAGAGCTAAGCTATGGGGGCGCAAAGGCATAAGAAGGATTCAATGGACTTTGGGGACTCAGGAGAAAGGGTGTGAGCTGGGTGAGGGATAAAAGATTACACATTGGATATAGTGTACACTGCCTGGGTGATGGGGGCACCAAAATCTCAGAAATCAACACTAAAGAACTTATTCATGTAACAAAATACCACCTGTTCCCCCAAAACCTACTGAAATAAAAAATAAATTTTAAAAATGGTGTTGGGAAAACTGGACATCTATATACAGGAAAAAGAAACTAGATTCTCATCTTTCACCATATAAAAAAATTAACTCAAAATGGATTAAAGACTTAAATGTAAGACCTGAAACTATGAAACTACCAGAGGAAATGATACAGAATATTGGTCTCAAAAAAGATTTTTGAGGTAAGGCCTCAAAAGCACAGGCAACAAAAACGAAAAACCAAAAAAAGACAAATTGGATTCCATGAAGCTACATTAAGCATTTTAAGCTTCTATACTGCAAACAATTAACAAAGTGAAGAGACAACCTACAAAACAGGAGGCAATATTTGCAAACTTTCCATATGAAAAGAGGTTAATTACCAGAATACATGAGAAACCCAAACAACTCAACAGCAAAAATAAAACAAAACAAATAATGTCATTACAAAATAGGCAAAGGACCCTAATAGACATTTTTTAAAAGAAGACAAACAAACGGCCAATGAGTATATTAAAAAATTTTCAACATCACTAACCATCAAGAAAAGTGCAAGTAAAAAACACAGTGAGAAATAACCTCACCCCACTTAGAATGGCTATTATCAAAAAGACAAAAAAAAAAACACACACACACTGGCAAGAACGCAAAGAAAGGGGAAAGCTTATACACTGTGGGAAGGTAAAAGTAGCACAGCCACTGTGGAAAAAAAGTAAGGAGTTTCCTCAAAAAACTACAAATAGAATTACCATATGATCCAGCAATGTCATTGCTAGGTGTATATCCAAAAGAAAGAAAATCAGTATATGGAACAGATATCCACACTGCCATGTTTACTGCAGCACTATTCATAATAACCAAGATAGGAAATTAATCTTCATGTCCCTGAAGAAATGAATGGATAGAAAAAATGCAGTATAGATATACACAATGGAATATTTTTTGGCCATAAGACAGAATGAAATTCTGTCATTTGCTCCAACAGGAAACTGGAGGTCATTATGTTAAGTGAAATAAGCCAGGCACAAAAAGACAACACATGTTTTCACTCATATATGGCAACTAAAAAAGTAGATTTCATGGAGGTAGAGAGTAGGATGATGGTTACCAGAGGCTTGGAAAGGAAAGCAGAGGCAGATGAAGAGAAGTTAGTTAAAGGCACAAAAATATAGTCAGATAGAAGAAATAAGTTCTAATATTTGACTCTACAATAAGGAAGTTATAATTAACAGTAATTTATTATATATTTGAAAACAGCTAGAAGATTTGCAGTATTCCCAACACAAAGAAAAAATAAATGTTTGAGGTAATAGATATCCCAATTACTCTAATTTGATCATTACTACATTGTATACAGATATCAAAATATCATATGCACTCCAAGAATATGTAAAACTATTATAATCAATTTAAGATTTTTAATAAAAAAAGAAAAATGACACTTTAACGAATCATCATATAATATGTTCAGTGATTACTGAATGACTAAAGAATGGTTGGGTGCATTTGTTGTAAAATGTAAAAAAATCAGCCTCATTTTGAGTCATATTTCACATGATAAAAATATCATCTCTCCATGTATATTTTCAGTGAGTATTTATTCATTATTTTTGTGTCACTGTTAAGAGCTAACAACATAATATTTTTTATTATACACAATCCTTGCCCACATGTAGTTCACAGTCTACTCAGCAACTGTTTTAAAATATAGGATATATTAAAATTAATGTTTGGGAGCAAAATACTGCTAATTTTTCTCTTCTTATAAGACATAAATTTTAGCTGGACATATGGCCACAAGGAAAAGGACTGTATCTTCCAGTCTTTTTTGCAGCCACACAGGGCCATGTGACTAAGCACTGATCCATAGGATTAACCAGTGCAGTTGTACCACGACAACTGGGAAGTTTCCTTACAAGGAAGTAATTGTACCTTTTCACATTCTGCTCGGAATGTGACTATAACACATTGTCCTTATGACAAAAGCTACGTCTGACAAATCCTGGATCCTGACATCATGGAACACTACAGCAGCTTTGGAATGCCTATCTCAAGTTTTAATTCAAAGAGAAAAATATAGTTGTATCTCATTTAAGCTTCTGATCTTATGAATTTTCTGTTTCTTGCAGCCAAGTCTAACCCTAACTAAGCATAGTATTAAAAAAAGTGTTATTTAAAGTCATCTTGACTCTGATAGGATAGTTACCAGTAACAATTCTGAAGGGAAAATGCAAATTTGCAGAACAGTAACAACAAAAAAAACATAGGACTGCAAGTTTATCTCACATCATTGTGTATCTCACATTTGTGAACCTCAAAAATCTACTGGGCAGAAAAAGGACAGATGGTTAATTATCATGGTACATATAAGAACACGGCACAGAGAGATTGTAAGACAGGCCCGAGCTCATAAAATCCACTCTTCTTTTTAGTGAGAACCTACATGGGCTTTTTGCCTTACCTCAGCATGAGAGCTTTTATTCCCTTAAGTAAAGTTGCAAAGAAGGCCAAGTGGGCTCTGGCAGTGTTTCATCAGTTAGCGAAGTCTGCAGTAGAGAAAGAATATGAAAAGAAAGAAAAAGAAAGAAATGCTTTTACTTCTCTGAATCTAGATGCAGATAAAGTTGGAAAGAAAGGAGAAATTATCTGGAAAAACTGGTCCAGTTGGAGATACAGAGCAGACAATGGAAGACACATTCTAGATATCTCCTCTCATTACTTTATATAGTGTTGAGTTTTCCATAAACGGAAAGTGTTGTGCAGAAGGGTTTAGAAATATATTTGCAATATTCACATTAAAAGTGAAGGGAAACATACAGGGAATAAGAAAAGGGAAAACTCTGAATCTGGCTGAGGAGAAAAAAATCCATTTTACCAGCTGGAGAAAAGCCTGGGTAATAAGTAGAGTCAATGTATTTGTGAGGCAAGTTGAAAAAAGGCAGTGAAGATGGGAGAGGGAAAGCAAAAGGAAGACGACAGCATTTGGGGACTTATTGGGCAAAAATAAAATTGCTTTCAACATGCATCCCACACACAGATACTCAGGCAGATTTATTTGATCAGTTCTGACAATAATAAAAAGCAGTACAAATGGAAGGTGCCCAGCCATTCTCAAGGTAGACAGTTCTGTCTGAAAATTTAACATCTAATTTCCACATCTGGGCAACACTCCACTTAGAGGAAAGCACAGTGAAGCAAGTGGGCCTTCACTATTCCATAGCATTTTAGAACTGTTTCAGACTGAAATTCCGCAGACTGGAATAGTTGGTGTTGATAGTTAATGGTTGACGCAGAAGCTTCTATCCCAGATGGTAAATGTAGCAAGTTACATTAAAATAAAATAGTAGAAAGTTATTAACATAGAGAATGCTCACTTCCTTCTTCCAGAGAGCTTTATCAAAGCCCCATCACCAAAGCCTATCACATAAATAATGTATAAGGTGTTATTTAATAAAATCTTATATATGAATACCAGCTGGCTGGACAATAAGAGCACATGCAGTAACATATCCATGCCATTAACACAAGGATACCTCATGGGACTTTGAGAATTTTACTCTGTAGTAGAGAAACCAACGTGTATGAAATTGTTTTAAATTTAATTGTCAGGTTCTATGATTTCTGTTCAACCAAACAAATATAGTACAAATTCTCTAACAACTTTGAGTAACTACGTAACACCAAATACCACAAATGAGACTAGTATGCAATAAACTACATGGTAAAAAAATTAGGAATTTTTCTACCTCCAAATGTGGTGTGTTCACTTATTTTGACAATTGTAATTTAGTTTTTAATTATTCATCATATGGTAGTGAATATGCTGCACAGTATTTCATAAAGAAATGAAAACTTACGCCGGGTGCAGTGGCTCACACCTGTAATCCTAGCACTTTGGGAGGCTGAGGCAGTCAGATCACTTGAGATCAGGAGTTTGAGACCACCCTGGCCAACGTGGTGAAACCTTGTCTCTACTTTAAAAATGCAAAAAATTAGCCAAGAATGGTGGCGGGCACTTGTAATCCCAGCTACTTAGGAGACTGAGGCAGGAGAATCACTGGAAACTGGGAGGCAGAGGTTACAGTGAGTCAAGATCGCACCACTGCACTCCAGCCTGGGTGACAGACAGCGAGACTCCATCTCAAAAAATAAATAAATAAAATAAAAATAAAAGAAGAGAAAACTTAATCTGTAATGGGGAGTTCTATTAGCAGGCAACACTGTATTAAATATTTGCTTGGAATAATGCAAAAGCAAGAAATTTATAGCAGGAATCCATATGAGTGAGCTTTCACAAGACTATAACGGGAGACAGCCAACTCTAATCCTTAATGTCTATACCCTGTTTTCCCTTCTGCTGCTTACCTCATCTGCCACAAGGATTTTTTTTATTGTTCTTAAAGCTTATCCTAATAACACCTTGAATTTGAAAAATGTCTTAAAATGTACAACATATTTCACATTTATTATCTTAATTTAATCCAGAGGTTCTCAACCGTGAGCAATGTTACATCCCCAGGAAGCCGGAAAAAAATGACAATGCCTGAAAACATTTTTGGTTATCACAACTGGGAGGTGCTACAGGGTAGAGGCCAGGATAGCTGCTGAACTTCCTACAATGAGCAGGACAGCGTCCTACAACAAACAATCACCTGGCCCAAAATATCAATGGGCTGGAGTTGAGAAACTTCAGCTACAGGATTTCATCCTATAGCTACATTATGTGGTAGAAGGTAAAAGAACTGCTATCCCCATTTTTGGGAAAGAAAATGGTGCCCACAAGCTCTCTAAATTATACAAAACTGTATTGGAGCCAAGGATCTTATTTCAGTGTATATTTCATAAAACAATACAAAATCCCAATGACCTGTGAAAATCATGGGAAAGTTCAGTGACTAAAAAATCTTGAAAATAACAAAGAATGACATTCACATCAACAGTGGAAACACACAACAAAGAAGAGTGGGAAGGGGACAACTATCTGCTCTTCCCACAATGCAGCGGATGGGAAGGAATGCAAAGATACGAGGATATGAACCCCAGGTCTGCTGCTCACTCACCAGCTGATAGGGTATGACTGCGTCCCCTGCCCAAATCTCATCTTGAATTGTAGCTCCCATAATTCCCACATGTTGTGGGAGGGACTCGGTGGGAGAAAACTGAATCATGGGGGTGGTTTGCCTTTATGAATACATCTCACGAGATCTGATGGTTTTACAAGGGATTCCCCTTTTGCTTGGTGCTCATTGTTTCTTGCCTGCAGCCATGTAAGATGTGCCTTTTGCCTTCCACCATGATTATGAGGCCTCTCCAGACACATGGAACTGCTGAGTCCATTAAGCCTCTTTTTCTTTATAAATTACCCAGTCTTGGGTATGTCTTTATCAGCAACGTGAAAACGGACTAATGCACCAGCTATAGACTTTTGGCTGTGTTGCCTTTGGCACTTAACATTTGCAACTCTGAGATTAGTTTTCCCAACTTGTAACATGAGAATAGCTAAATAAGAATTCCTATGAAAAGCTCTTTATAAAACATCAGGCATTGTCCAAAATGTTTATTATCTTCAACATTAGTGATGATTTTCACTGACTTCTCCCTTCCTCCTTGCTGATTGGTTAGCAGACTCCTTATTTACGTTCACAGACTGACCACACAAAACCTAGGCTTATGAGCAAAAGCAGATACATAGCCAGGTGCCATAAAGATGCTGGGGAGAAGGGAATATGTGGAGAGGTGTGGCTAAAACCACAAGTTCTGAAGACAAATGGCCTGAAATTTACAGATAAAAAAAAAAAAATCACTAAATAACCCATTACTAGAGCAATATAGCTTTGGGTACATTGTTTAACCTCCGTATGTCTTTGTCTTCTTACTTGCAGAATAGCACTTATGACTCATAAGGTTGTAAGAAACAAATGAAATAATAAATGAAAAAGAACAATGTAAGAGTACACAATCAATCCCCCTTAGGCCACACAGTGCTCTAAGTGCCTGAAAAACACTGGTGGACAAGATAGAAAAGTTTTCTACCCTGATAAATCTTACATTTCAATGGGAGAGAAATAAGAAATCAATATATAAATAATACAAATAACAAAAAATAAAATATAAAAAGGTTAGGAACTCAGGCTAAGACATGAGATGCCAGTTCAAAGTATCTGTGAAGCAAAAGATTAGAGTTCCCAGAAATAAATTGAGAAATAGGCTGCATGAATGAAATTACTGAATACAGGATTTGCAATTCAGGAAGTTCAGAGTCAATTATATTATGTGTGGTAGGTTCATAAACATGAGCAAACACAGTGCATCTAGCAGGATCAGATTATTAAAAAGGTAGGAAACCATTATCCAGTTGTTTTCTTAAGCAATAGTTAATGCTAAAATATTTCATCCAACAACTATCTAGACGTACTTCTTACTTATTAGGAAGTAATTTCCTAAATGCATACTGAGACAGAAAAAAATAAGAAAATCTCTGCTAATATTCAATGAAACTTCTAAAATCAAAAGATCAGAAAGTCCAGTCTATCACTGATGGGCATTTGAGTTGGTTCCAAGTTTTTGCTATTGCAAACAGTGCTGCAATAAACATACATATGCATGTGTCTTTACAGTAGAATGATTTATAATGCTTTGGGTATACACCCAGTAATGGGATTGCTGGGTCAAATGGTGTTTCTGGTTCTAGATCCTTGAGAAATCGCCACGCTGTCTTCCACAATGGTTGAACTAATTTACACTCCCACCAACGGTGTAAAAGCGTTCCTATTTCTTCACATCCTCTCCAGCATCTGTTGTTTCCTGAGTTATTTAGTTATTTATTTTGAGATGGACTCTCGCTCTATTGCCCAGGCTGGAGTGCAATGGCGCATTCTCAGCTCACTGCAACTTCTGCAGAACAAGGCTGGAGGCATCAAGCTATCTGACTTCAAACTATACAACAAGGCTACAGTAACCAAAAAAGCATGGTACTGGTACCAAAACAGATATATAGACAAATGGAACAGGACAGAGCCCTCAGAAGTAATGCCTCACATCTACACCCATCTGATCCTTGACTAACCTGACAAAAACAAGCAATGGAGAAAGGATTCCCTATTTAATAAATGGTGTTGGGAAAACTGGCTAGTCATAGGCAGAAAACTGAAACTGGAACCCATCCTTACACCTTATACAAAAATTAACTCAAGCTGGATTAAAGACTTAAACCTAAGACCTAAAACCATAAAAACAACAGAAGAAAACCTAGGCAATACCATTTAGGACATAGGCATAGGCAAAGACTTCATGACTAAAACACCAAAAGCAATGGCAACAAAAGCCAAGATTGACAAATTGGATCTAATTAAAGAGCTTCCTCACAGCAAAAGAAACTATCATCTGAGTGAACAGGCAACCTACAGAATGGGAGAAAATTTTTTCAATCCATCCATCTGACAAAGGGCTCATACCCAGAATCTACAAGGAATTTGAAGAAATTTTCAAGAAAAAAACAACCCCATCAAAAAGTGGGCAAATGATACAAACAGACACTTCTCAAAAG